TTTCGCCATCCAAACGCGTGTTATTGTTGCTGCGCCAGTCGACAAAACCCTGGCTGGATGCCGTACATTTTTTTTTATGCCGAAACGTTAATCACAGCGGGAATTTCAATAACCATTGCGGAGACACAGCGCCGCCGGCGACATCTGTCCGACGAATTCGCCCGCGTGTGAACTCCGGAGCCAACACTGAATCAAAGTGAGCACCGGGGAGAGAGCCGCGCACATGCAGGCGACATCGGCAGCTGCATGAGCGCTAACGAAACCCTGGGCGCATTACGCATGCAAGAAGCAGTGAAAGGATTCGGGCGCAGATGGTGGCCCAATATTTGTCCTGCCAGTTGCCGTGCACGACGGCCCGTGTGATTTATCCGGCCGTTGACTCTGCTTGCGCCTAGCACACGGGTGACACGACCGTGACGTTATACGCTGGACTCCCCCTGCGTCCTGCGAGCTCCGTGCCAGCGCCCTGAAGAGCACGCACGCACGCACGCACGCACGCACGCACGCACGCGCGCGCGCGCACACACACACACAACAAACACGCAGGGCCAGGGAGAGTGAGAGAGTGAGAGAGTGGAGATAGAGCGAGAGAAAGATGAAAAACGAGTGGGAGTGAGAAAGAGAACGACGAAGCGCGGCGAGAACCACGGCGAGTGTGAAGGAGAGAGGGAGAGAGCGGGAAATGATAGGGGAGTGAGAAAGAAAGGAAGGGTGAAAGAGCGAGGGGGAGGAAGAAAAAGAGTGGGCGTGAGAAAGAGAACGAAAGCGGGCGAACGTGTGTGAGAGATTGAGAGAGAGAGAAAAAGAGAAAGAGAGAGAGAGCGAGAGAGAAAGAGAAAGAGAGAGAGCGCAAAGAGCGAGAAATAGAAAGAGAGAGAGCGCAAAGAGAGAGAAAGAGAGAGATAAGAGAGAGAGAGAGCAAAAAGAAATTGAGAGAGAGAGAGGCAAGAGAGAAAGAGAGAGAGAGAGAGAGAGAAAAGAGATGAGAGAGAGAGAGAGAAGAGAGAGCAAAGAGCGATGAGAGTAAAGAGAAAGCCAAGAAGAGAGAAAGAAAGAAGAAAGAGAGAGAGAGAGAGAGAGAGAGAGAAGAGAGAGAACGAGAGAGAGAGAGAGCAAAGGAGAAGGAGAGAGCGAGAGAGAAAGAGAAAAGAAAGCGAGAGGAAGGAGAGAGAGAGAGAGCAAATAGAAATGTGAAAAAGAGAGAAAAAAGTAAGAAAGAGAGCAGAAGAGGAAAGAGAGAGAAGCGAGGCAATAGAGAATTGAGAGGGAGAGAGAGAGAGAGGAGAGAGAGAGAGAGAAGAGAGAGAAAGAGAATAGAGAGAGAGCTAAAGAGAAGGAGAAGAGCGAGAAGAAAGAGAAAGAAAAGAGAGAGAGAGGAGAGAAGAAGAGAGAGTCGCGTGGAGATGAGAGATGAGGAGAGAGAAGCAACTGAGGAGAGAGAGAGATGAGAGAGAGAGAGAGGAGAAGAGAGAGAGAGAGAGAGAGAAGAGATTTAGCGAGAAAGATATTGGGAAGTACGATCGATCACGTGCGCCGACACCGCACCCCGCACACGCGACCCCGCCCAGGCCGTTTTACGACTGCCAGCCTTCACAGCCGACAACTTATTCCTCCACTTAAATTCGCGGGATTATAGGGATCGCAGCGCAGCATAGAGAATCACCGGAGCGTCCGGTGATGAGGCCCGCCCGACCGATTGACAGATGAGGACTGCAGAACCACGGCTGCCCATGGTTGGTTCAACACGCTGTCCTACGCTGCACAGCGGGGCCCAGGTACGACAGGTGCCCGGGGAGGTGCGGGGAGGAGGAAATTATGCGAAGGAAAGGGCGGGAGCGGAACTGTTGGAAGAGGGGGAGGTAGCGGAGAGGAAATATTGGGAAAAAGGAGAACTCGAGAGAAGGGAATACTGTGGATGGATGAGGGAGAGCGTGGAGGAGAGAGTTAACGAGGAAGAAGGTGCTGAGGGAGAGGTGTGGGGCAGGGGAGGTGCCGAGAGAGAGAGAGAGAAAAAGAGAGAGAGAGAGATGTTGGGAGGAAAGATGCGAGGAGAAAGTGTGCGAAAGTGGAGGTGCGGGGGAAGGGTGTGTTGAGCGCGAGGTTCGAGAAAGAAAGAAATTAGGGGAAGGAGGGATGCGGAAGAAGAAATATGATGTGTGGAAAGGAACGATGCGGGGGTAGAGAGGTTGGGAGAGGGAGGTTGCATGGCGAGAGGTGCGGGGAGTGCGGTGAGGAAGGGAAAGGGGCTGGCGAAAGGCAAGCAGCGTGGAGAAAATGGAAGATGCGAAGATGTAGAGAATTGCTCTCTACACGCCACGCGACGACGCGCACCGCACCAACGATACAACGTACGGAGCGCGCGCACGCGCCATACGACACACGCACGCACACGCACGGGCACAGGCACACACAGCTGCACAACACGCACACGCACAACTGCACCAACGCGCACAACCAAGCAATCTTCTGCCCACGGAATGCGCAGACAACAACGCAAACGCGCGCAGCGCACGCACACAAATGCCACACATCGGACTCGCAGACGCACACCACACACACGGCGCCCGCAGCGCACACGCACGCGCATGACCGAGGTTACAAACGTGTTACATGCAGCGCAAGTGTGAAATTTATACTTTTAGTGTGTTATGATTCAGCGCCGCCATTTACCGACACTTTCACATGTCATAACTCTGTCGAGAACATTGTTATTTGTGCGGCCAGTACAACAGATTTACCTGAAACTGATGAAGAATATTGCATCACACACAAAGGCTTGATAAAATTACCATGTTTCGGACGTTAACCGCGCACGGCGGCCACAGCTGAACGTTGCACAATGTTGCTATAGGCTAGAAGTAAACGTGTCTGCCCTGATCGTTGTACGCTATGTATGCGCCTTAGAAATACCGGACGTCCACTCATGCGTCAACCCTTGCCCGTTTACACGAGCGTCCACAATCACTCACACATGTCCGGCATTATCTCATCGTAACCGACATTTACATAAACACAGCTAGCGCAGGCGAGTTGCCCAGCGAACACATGTTAGCCCCATACTAGTGCTCCTTAATTACACTTACAGTGAATCGTGGCGGTACTGATAAAGGGGTTTGAACAGTTATACTAATTAAGACAATTGTAAGGCATAGTAAAATTTTAATATACATACATTGCAATATATAGGTACCAATATACGTTAAATCGTAATCAAACATTTGACTGATATTATCAGGGGTTAACAATGACAAAGGTTTGTCATTATTAACCCATGATATTATATATAACAATAAAAACAATATTAAAAATATTGGGCGCAATTAATTAACAGGCCTGGATTAATAATTATAACCACAATCTGTGGATCGATCATCGTTTACGGGTGTAGACTGAAACGCGCTTACCTCAGAAACTCTTGTAAGCAACTGTCGCAGAACCGGTGCCCGCATGTTGTGATTTTGACAGGATCCTTGGCAGGTAAGTGGCAGATGAGACATGTGAACGCTCTCGGTATGGACTCCAAGAACTTGTAACTATAACCCGGCATGATTCCGAAACGGTAGCAGCGAGAAAAACACTTTCGCTTGCCAACCTTCCCTCCTCTAACCGGCGCGCGTGTCTGCCTCGACTTGTGTGTTTACAGACTGCAGTAGCAGCATGACAATATAAGCGCACTACCTTCGTCGACGGTGTGAGAATCGCATGGGATTTTGGAAACCACATCAATCTACTTTTAGCGAGACAGCGTGAAACATAAATCACTCGTTTTGACGGTTTTATTTGTAACAATTTTGGTCCGTGCATTGTTCGCGTTCTACGTAATGTCTTAAATACTGTTTGGTTATGATAATAACGATGGCGTTCTATTGTGTACGGCATTGGGTCACCCTGCCGAGCTACGCTAGTCTCTCGATCCGCGCGACTGGCGCGACCACCGTTCTCGTTGTGATTTATACACATGAGCGACATCTAGTGGCAAGATAAGCTTTGTTCCGTACAGCAATTGCTAAATTAATAGCCACTCAATCATACATAGTTCTTGGTCTGGCCGTAGTGAGTGGAAATAATCTACGTCAACAATACAACTCCCTCTACACATATACTTTGGCTGAGAGAGTCTATGTCTCCCTGGGTACTGCCGGAACGTACCCTGGTAACTATCTACTTCGCCTACCGTACCTCGCCTACTCCACTAACGAGTCTAGGAAGTCGCCTACGCCTACTCCCTAACCCTAACCATATCAGATAGTTACCTCAGGTACATATATGTCACCTACGCCTACGCCTACTCCCTAACCCTAACCATATCAGATAGTTACCATAGTACGTTCCGGCAGTAGGCCTACCCAGGGAGACATAGACCCTAGCTATGAGCTATACTTTACATATACTCTCTGCATTCATAACAGTTTTGATTAAAAAAGCTAATGCAAATGACGCAACGCTGGTTAATTACAATCGGATTAAAAAACATTAGCAGGACAAGCGCCAATGTCATAATTAGGTTTACGTGGATATAAAATATAGCGTGAAGTAATTGAATTTCCTAATTACTTCATATATGACATGCCGTGTCGGATACAGTCACGAGTGAATAAAAATAAAATATGTTTGGTTTTATTCACTCCTGATACCATCAATATTTCGCAAATTCTTGACTATGGGAGGATATTACTTATATAAATACTATAAAATATATAAGTATAGTAATATGTTCATGGCTTTCGACAACCACGAAACAATAAAACAATTGATTGAGCATTATTTGCGAAATCATTAGTAAATATCATTGTAATCGATTTGCTTTAACCGTAATAAAAAATATGCAGTCATTTTGTACCACATACATAATCTGTCACTCCGCGTCACACTCTACATTCTTCATTACGTATAACATAACTTTAATCTAATCTGTACAATTACAAAATTGGTATAAGCTTCGTGTGTAAGCTTCTTGGAAACTACACGCTGCCTTCGCTGTGCGCTCACATAGCGCTAATCATCCAGATTGTTTAACGAAATGTCTGACAGTTCGGAGAGGTCCATCGTTGCTGGTCGATCGGGAGGCTGATATACTTCATCGGTGGTACCTGCCAACGACACTCCCTGTAAGTGACACGCAGCACGCCGGCACAGACGCTGCTATGTAAATTAATGTTGCACCGAAGTTGCCTAAATTTGTCCTGACAGATGCACTACACGTCATCGGGGAGCAGCGGGTTGCAACATTAAAAATATACGATGTATCAAGTCTATCATCACATATGAAATTATATATAAGATCAGAATGGATGTGTGTAGTTATGGATAAGTAGCGCCTATAAAGGACATATCCGTATACAATCCTGTTCAGTAGCAAGCTTCGGAGAAATGAACAAGGTACGTGGTTATCACCTGAAAAGTGTTCCCCAATTGTGCCATCCTCAAGTCCTGTTCTGAGTACAACCGGGCACTTGACCACATGCATGACGTCAACGCACGAATAATATCTGTGTAGCTGTGTAGTAAAGAAGAGGCGTGTGAAAATGCATTTTAACTTGTTAACACCTGGAAATATAATTTAGTTATTATATATATATACATCGGTTATATATTAATATATTATATACTACTACTACTACTCAGCGGACGCATCCGAGATAGAGTTCACAATGCCATGCCATGAATATTCGTCCATCATCAGTGTCTGCATGTCCGCTATGTCATGCTGGATATTCCTTGCAATGCAGTCAATGTAGTTCAGTGGCCGTCTTCCTCTGGTTAGGCAAGGCAGTCTCAAGCAGATCACATCAGATATGATTTGGTCTTTGGCACAAAAACAGTGACCAGCAAAACGTGTTCTGCGACGAGCTACAATGGTAGAAATGGGTGGTATGTCTCCATAGATCTCTGCTTTTGTTTTGTGTTCCCGCCAGCTGATGTTCTGAACTCTCATACGAAGCCGAGTATATGTGCCATGAAGCCGGTCCTGCAGGACCTTCTTCATGGTCCACGTCTCTGATCCATATAAGAGTATGTTCTCTACGCAAGCTCTAAAGAATGCAAGTTTGGTACATCTTGGAATGTGAGACTGCCAGATGTGCTGCAGCCTGTTACATGCATTCCAGGCTTGGCCTTTGCGTGTCGTGAAGTTCTTCTTGAAGTCAGTTACATAAGACCCTAGCTATTTAAAGTCTCTAACTGCATTTAGCTGTGAGCCATCCTTGGAAAAGATTGGTAGATTCTCAGCATTCTCATTTACTGTTGTATATTCTGTTTTCTTGGCATTAAGAAATAGACCGACCTTTGCTAAAGCATCCTCGAGAGAAGTTAGCAGGTCTTGTGCATCCTTCAAAAATTCGTCAGTCTTGGACTTCACGTGGGCTTCCAAGACCTCGGTGTAAGCTTGATAAAAAGCAGCTTTAGCATATTCAAGGCTTCTGCAAGTATTTCTGGTGGGTCTAGCATTGTGCTTTATTGAAGCTTTCTTCAAGGTTTCTCTGGCTGTGTTGACTTTGCCGCTGGTGGCTATTGCGGCATCATTCTTTCTTTTCTTGGGAAGCATTTAAAGAGCAGTCTCCTTGTTGGCAGGGATCCAGGCATCATACACAGTTGAGGTGTTGTTGTGATCTTCTAGTTCCTCGCGCAGGATGCAGAATTTGTTGTGAACTGCTACCGTGAATTACTCACAGAGGTTGTCATCTCTCATAACACTTTTCCAGTCGATGCTCTTCATAGGATCTTTAGCTGGTGATTTGCTTTTGTGGTAACTGATCTGGCATCAACATGAGACGATGCGATGGTCCGATTGAATACCTTCAAAAGAGTTGTGGGCTCTGGAGTTTTTAATAGAGTTGACCCATTTCTTTCTTACCAGGATGTGATCTAGTTGAACAAGCTGACCATTTGGACGGCGATGGGTCCAAAGCTTACTCTTGCGGTTCTGAAACCTTGTGTTGGTGGCAACAAGGCTGTGTTACTCCATAAAATCTTTTACGTGCCTCCCATTTCCATTGGTTTCGCCTGCACACGTAAATAGAGCGTCTGAAGACCCTAGTTGGGCATTGAGATCCCCACCTAATATTAGTAGATTGTGAGCTGGAATTGCGTAGACTATGGTTGAAAGTTTCTGGTAGAATTTATCAACATTCTCTTCTTGGTATTCATTGTGAGGGCTATAACAGCACAGTGCTGTTGTCAGTGGGTTGCCGTGTAGAGTTATCTTGATTGTACGCTCCATTGTAGCTTACAACGGAGCGACAGGATTTCAAGGCCCTTGGTGAAATAAGGAAGCCTACTCCGCCAGTTGCAGCATTTCGCGCGTTCCTCCATGCTGAAGAGGTTACTAAAGTATAACCAGTGATAGAGGTCTATTGTAGTAGCGTATCGGCGTGTTCAATGCGGTGTTTCTGGAGGCCGATGATGTCAATGCCGTAGTCTTGTGCTTCATGCGCTAGTTCTTCTTTCTTTGCAGTAGATCTTGGCGTCTGGGTGTTGAAAGTACTAATGATGACAGCTAGGTAACTTGCGACGAACGAATCTGTCCATCTCTCCTTTGTCACTATCAGGCTTGGACCGTCCCAGAAGCTTGAGGACCGACCCGGCATGCGTGTTAGCAGAAACCAACTTTGGCAAATTAGTCATGGACGAAGACTCAGGGGCTTTAACCCTGGTGCTTTTGCATTGTGTACTCATAATCTTGTCGATTTCTATAGTGGATCTGTGGGCGCCACTCCTACAGCCACCATGCGGCAGGTAGTACTGGGTTACATGTTACCAGTAACAGATTGACCTGGCCGACCTGACCTGACACCTGACATATCCATATACAATCCTGTTCAGTAGCAAGTTTCGGAAAAGTGAACAAGGTACGTGGTTATCACCTGAAAAGTGTTATATATATATATATATATATAGCTACGATCACTGCACACACGCACCAAGTAGCAGGGAGCGGATAGCAGCCAGCAGGGGGCGCACACCACCCACGGCCCGGAGCAGTCGAAGCAGTGCTGGTAGTGCTTGCTGTCGCTGACGTACAGCCGACAGAACGACGACGTCGTCGTCGACGTTGAACAGCACGTTTCGTTCTGCCTGAACATGTCGGCGAACCATTCACGGATCGCCGGCCCGATGTCCACCTGTAGGTGAAGAAGAAGAACGGCGACGCTGCCGTTATCTCATTGTTGCTGCGTTCACGTATAGAGAGAGAGCTAGTTGAGAGAAGAAGAGAGAGAGAGAGAGATAGAGAGAAGGAGAGAGAAAGAGAGAGAGAGAGAGAGAAGAGAGAGAAAGCGAGAGGGGAAGACGGACAGAACATACGACAGACGGACAGACGGACAGGCCGGCGGAAGCCGACAGACGGAAGGCAGGACGACAGCCGGACTGACGGACAGACCGGACAGACGGACGGCGGCACGAACGGACGGCGGATCGGGCGGACAATGACAAACCAGACAAACGAGAGGGACAAAAAAAACCGCAGAGAGAAGAGAGAGAAAGAGAGAGCAGAGAGAGAGAGAAGAGAAGAGAGACGAGAGACGAGAGAGAGCGAGGAGAGAGAGAGAGAGAGAGTGGTGTGTGTGTGATTGGTGCATGTGTGGTGTGTGTGTGTGTGTGTGTGTGTGTGTGTGTCTGTGTGATGTGCGTGTGTCGCCGCGCAAGTGCGCTGCGTAGTCGTGCGTGCGTGCGTGCGTGCGTGTGTGTTATGTGTGTTTGTGTGTGCGTGTGTTCATAGTGGGCTATTATTATTCATATTTGTGCAACCACTACATCCGCATCTGGCGGTTACCCTCGCAGGCACACCACTGGATCCTTGCTGAATGGCCTCGAGGCAGCCTGATTGAACTGATTTCCAGCCTTGGCATTTTGAGGTTAAGGATGAGCGAGGTTCAATAACACGACGCAAAAATCCGCTAGAAGGAACGACGTAAGAGAAACCCATTAAACCACAGTCTCGCGACGCCGCAGAACCCCGCTCTCGAGCTGCTCCACGCGTGAGTCCTAAAATCGCCTGTACTCCCTTACTCTTTTCACTATTCAGCTGGAATTTCATGCAACCTCTTCTCTCCATTCGCTAAATATTCAACCGGTAATATTGTGACGATTGTCGATAACAAATGCGGAAATGACGTCATGCTACAAATGTGCGGAAATACGGCCGTCCAATAGACAGGTTAACGCACACTTGCCATCGCCGGTCAGATGGTGGCAGAGTCCAGCGAGAGTCTGCTGGGTGTGTGGAAGCGCTTAAATGGGCTATCAAGGATCGCTTGGAATGTAAGGTCTTTTACGCACGAGCCAGCGAACCTCCACCGTCGCTTCCGCACGTGAAACCTGTGCCTGCGGCGTTGAAAGTTCAAGGATATGTATAATGTTGATCATCTCAAAGTTGGAATTATTTAGAACACACGCGTGGGCGCGCGAGACACCTCGCACGCACAGACACGTACGCACACGCACACACACACACAACACACACACACACACACACAGCCACGAAACGACACACACACACAACACGCGCGCAACGACACACACCAACACACAGCACCACACAGCACGCCAGACCGCACCGCGCACACACACACACGCACACGCACGGCTACCCTACCGTCACGCACGGCACATGCACACACACACACCCACGACAGCACTCCCGCACAGCACGGCTAAATCGCCACGCAACACACACACACGACACCCACGAATATATATATTGTATTATAATTGTATATAAATAATAATATATATATATATATATATGGAGAGACAGAGAGAGAGAGCATTAATTAACTTTGGACATGTCAACGCGGTTTATGTATGGCACATGCACAACGTTTACGTATTCACGCCCGTGGGAATCAGTATGGGATGAAGCGACGAGCGCAAACAAGCTGTTATAATAATATATTCACGTATATAATATGCGTACGTAGCTTACTATGCTTTACAACTCCGAACAACTTCGTATCGGTGTATTATGCGCAAGTACAGTGCGCAAGCATGTGTTTCCGTGAATTATCACTAACACCAGCGGCTAGAGCAACGGATGAATAACTAAAAAAATTATGGATAATAATTATAAAAAATAATTAGCCAAATTTAATAATGGGTGATAAACCGCGGTTATATGCATGATGTCGCCACGAAGGAAGCGTCTGAAACGCCATTACACAATGTTAACTATACAGTCGATTCTCATGAGTTGTCATGCATGCTTTCGCGTGTATGCGCTATTAAAGATGTTGACGACGGTGTTTATATGTAAAACATATGCCCGACTGTGTCGTAATGTGCGACAGCTTGTTGATCCATTGAGCTATTGGTTATAATGCAGCAAAAAGGAACTCGCACTAGCAAAGTCCAATGTTCATGTTCCGGTACTGTATAAGCAATATAACAATATACGCCACAAGCGTGTCAATAAACATGTATGTGTATAGATACGATTTTGATACAATTGATATGTATGCAGAGCCATTATCGATGTACTATAAAGTGCCCACCTAGCTACTTAATTTAGTTTATTTAATTTAAGTAAAATCGAAAGTGGAAACAGCGTGGAGCACTGAGATGAAGGGTTGATAAATCTTGGGAGTGACAGATATGGTACGGACGATGCAGGCGCTGCGGAGGCGGGGACAGAGGGGCGTCACACATGCGCCAAACATTGGCTAGGATGAGGATGTATACTCCATATGCACTCTCTCTCTCTCTCTCTCTCTCTCTCTCTCTCTCTCTCTCTCTCTTTCTCTCTTTCTACCATCTCTCTCTCTTTCTCTCTCTCTCTCTCTCTCTCTCTCTCTCTTTCTCTCTTTCTACCATCTCTCTCTCTTTCTCTCTCTC